TCACTCTCACTCTCTCCCCTCACAAGAGGTGCGCAAAATCCGGATAAATATCCGGACAATCGGATAATCCTCAACAAGACATTATCCGAATTCAGACTCTTAACTCTCTTTCCCAACTGGTTTGCCGAAGTGGGTGTACCCATTAGTTGAAGTAGTGCTGCCGCGTGTGTCAAAGTGGGTCTGCGGGTGGTTGGCGGGTGCTCTGGGGTGGTCTGCTTCTTCTTTCCTATCAAACATCTATCACCCTTATCTCCCCTTCTTCTTTTTTATGTTTGTTACTCTCTTGTAACACCTGTAATCATTTGGCGCTCATATGACATTATGCAGTTGCGAGCGCCGTAAAACCTCTACTAAAACAAAAACAAAAGTGGTTCTAACCCATTTTGCCGAATCGGTTCATAACAGATTATTTACAGAAGAGGTGCACTAACATATTATTATCCGGATTTTGCTAAAGCGACACATTGCCCAGCCCTACCCCTCACCGACCACCACCATATCGACTGCCACTGAGCAAGCCCGTCCGTCCGTCCGCCTCAGACTCTATGTACATTTATGTTGTTACTGTGTGCAGGGAAGGAGTTGGAGTTTTTCTTGATATTTCCTTTGGATTTGGAATGATCTCTAAATTTTTTCCTGTGTTCAGAATGTTGTAGAATCTTCAGTTCTTCCTGGGTATTGGAGCTACTCCGCGTAAATAAACAAAAACAAAAAAAACAACAACCAGAAAACAAAACAAACAAACAAAAACAACAACAACAAAACCCAACATCGAACTAACAAAACACCAGTTTTAGCTGTTCTGCTTAACGTCTACGTACATAAAATGTGAAAAACGCCTCTTTCACACTTCTAGATATTGAGCTTTTGATGATGATTTAATTTCTGAGAGATGGTTGTCCAGTTTGGGCGCAAGCTAAGGGGTAATATAGCGGTACCTTGTGCCTCTGTGCTCGTCTGTGTGTCGCTGGAGTCGGGTTCTGAGGGTGTCTACCTGTGGGCGATGGTCAGTTGTGGAAAACGACTGGCTGTTTGTAGATTCTAGGTGTGAGAGAACAATGCTTTGTGTCGTGTTGTATATTCTTAAATGTTGGTTTGTGTAGATTTACTGGTAAAGAGATATTGGAACTCCCGTGTCAGTGTGTGAATCTTGTGCCTGTGTTATTTCTGTAATCGAAATGCTGGGTTTGTAGTCGGAAGATAGATTTTGAGTTCGTTTCGCAAATATGCAGGAGCGGGTATCGTAAACATCTATCCTCCTTATCTCCCCTTCTTCTTTTTTTATGTTAGTTTCTCTCTTGTAACAGCTCTAATCTTCTGGAGCTTATATGACCTTATGCAGTTGTGAGTTGCGAGCGCCGTAAAACCTCTAGATTTACGAAAACTAACAAACTTGCAGTTGTATTAAGCCACAATATGAGGGCACCTCATGGGTTTAACAGGTTGCTCAGCTGAATGTCCCGGGCGGACGCAAGTGATTATAGAATAAATTAATGTACAAGCCCGTCTAGCAATATAGCTGTTTAGAAGTCATATGAGCTTGCTGATGGAAGCGTTCCGATAAATCGCTATAGAATACCACTTTTAACTTTACCGAGGCCATGACCTTGGCCATATTAACCACGTATAAACATGCTGCTGTTTTCATGAGAGAGGGCTTTATACAATAATGTATCGCACACTATGCATCGTTGTCTCTATCTGGTATCTGGTCATTTTCATGTGTTCTGCGCTGGACAAGAGACCGTTACGGTAGCTCGTGAAAACGTACACCAGTGAGCCCATAGCCACGGTCTAGATGACCAGTGTCTGTAATGTAACGGTTATTATTTTAGTAGAGGTTATACGGCGCTCGCAACTGCATAAGGTCATATGAGCGCCAGAAGATCAGAGGTGTTACAAGAGAGTAACTTTACTTTAACAAACATAAAAAAGAAAAAGGGGAGATAAGGACGATAGATGTTTGGTACGAGAGAAGAAGCAAACCACACCAGAGCACCCGCCAACCAGCCACTGTGGCGGTTAGGTACTTCGCTGTCGCACACAGGAGGCCCAGGTTTGATTCGTGAGAGGGGAGCAATTTTTCTCCAGTAACTCAGTCTTTCTGCTTGGATGCTGTGTCCGTCTAAGTCTGGTTGGTCCTGACAGGCAGGGTCGGATACCTATCTCCTCAATGATCTAAATTTTGTCTATGGGGGTGTAAAATCACATCCAAATTATAAGTCTCAATGAGAGATGAAAGTCGTGAGAACAAAGATAGGAAAGCAATATTTATCTTTGTGATATAATACGTTTTCCTCGAAAATATGGAATTTTGCACTTTTGCAAAATCCATAATCAGTTGGTGTTTTTACATAATAATGGATTCCATTTTTTTGGACTCATATGTTTCTAGTTTTCGAGTTTCGGGACTCAGACAAAAAATATCAGCCTGAAATATTGGGCAACGGACGGGAACAAATCCAATAAGGCAAATCGATCATTCCTGAAGCGACGCTGGCGAACAAGGGGTATTAGCTTAATTTGCTTCTGACCCCGACGGAGTGTTTTTGGTGGGATTTCCTTTGTGATTTTTTCATTTCTTTTTCATTTTCATTTTGTTCTCTTTTTTTTTTTGGGGGGGGGCGTCTTTTTGTTGTCGGGTTTTTTTTTTTTTTTTTTTA